CAGCTATCTAAATTTAGTACCTTATTTTGTGTAGCAATACATGTTTCCCCAAACGAAACCCTAATGTTCTATTACACTTTATGTTACACATTGGTCTAGGGTAGGATTTATCATTTTCTCACACGCTCTCCTCACAACAAAAACACGCTCAATACGTCATAATAGACCCTGTACACAACTTTGAACCATCGGAATGTCATTTTGACCACAGGTTGACCGCGTTGACTCGTCAAACACGTCAAACTCGTCAAACACGTCAAACTTATGACGTATTGAGCGTGTTTTTGTTGTGAGGAGAGCGTGTGAGAAAATGATAAATCCTACCCTAGACCAATGTGTAACATAAAGTGTAATAGAACATTAGGGTTTCGTTTGGGGGAACATGCATTGCTAAACAAAATAAGGTGTTAAATTCAGTTAGCTCCGATTATTATTTACGTATCAAATTTGTTATACGAGGTGTTTATTAACATTGTCGTGGTCCGCACTTGATAAATTCGTTAAATAAGAGAGTTTGACGTGTTTGACGAGTTTGACGTGTTTGACGAGTCAACGCGGTCAACCTGTGGTCAAAATGACATTCCGATGGTTCAAAGTTGTGTACAGGGTCTATTATGACGTATTGAGCGTGTTTTTGTTGTGAGGAGAGCATGTGAGAAAATGATAAATCCTACCCTAGACCAATGTGTAACATAAAGTGTAATAGAACATTAGGGTTTCGTTTGGGGGAACATGCATTGCTAAACAAAATAAGGTGTTAAATTCAGTTAGCTCCGATTATTATTTACGTATCAAATTTGTTATACGAGGTGTTTATTAACATTGTCGTGGTCCGCACTTGATAAATTCGTTAAATAAGAGAGTTTGACGTGTTTGACGAGTTTGACGTGTTTGACGAGTCAACGCGGTCAACCTGTGGTCAAAATGACATTCCGATGGTTCAAAGTTGTGTACAGGGTCTATTATGACGTATTGAGCGTGTTTTTGTTGTGAGGAGAGCGTGTGAGAAAATGATAAATCCTACCCTAGACCAATGTGTAACATAAAGTGTAATAGAACATTAGGGTTTCGTTTGGGGGAACATGCATTGCTAAACAAAATAAGGTGTTAAATTCAGTTAGCTCCGATTATTATTTACGTATCAAATTTGTTATACGAGGTGTTTATTAACATTGTCGTGGTCCGCACTTGATAAATTCGTTAAATAAGAGAGTTTGACGTGTTTGATAGGCACGCCATTCAGAACAAACCATAACTGTTTCACTTCTCCTTCCAATTTTAGTGCCCGATGTAAGAGGACTGATGCCGGAACCATCTTCAATGTGTCCTTACATGCGAGATGGAAAATATGCCGAAACTGGGATTCTTTTTTGAAATATGTAAATTCTTCATCCGTCAAGACCTTTTTAAGAGATCTAACAGTCTGATATGGATAACATTTCGTCGTGATCTTAGGAGCCATATGAATGTCCTTAAAATCATACACAAAAGGTACCTGCAAAAACAAATTTAACACTCATTATCAAACACGTCAAACACGTCAAACTCGTCAAACTCGTCAAACTCCGACTTGTTTGACGAGTTTGAACATTTTCGAGACTCGAATAGTTTGACTTGTTTAACGGGTGTGCTAAGTTTAACTAATATCTATCATGACCATTAATCTATGTTTTAGTGCATCCGACTGTCGACAATATCATCGTGACTCGATTTCTATCCGTCTTTTTCACAAAACACTGTTTTTCACCCAATCCGAAAACCCTATTTCGATATTTCAGTGACAATTTGTCATTCAAACCATAGTTTTTAAAATTTTTATTTCAAACCCTATTCTTAACGAAAACTTAATAGAAAATCTAAAACCGAATCTCAATGTATATCCGAAACCCTAAAAAATTTGATTTTTGCGGAGTTCAAAAACTATACCTGGAGGTCTTTGCAAATAGGGTCCGAAGAGGAGGCCGAAATTATTATTATTATTATTATTATTATTATTATTATTATTATTATTATTATTATTATTATTATTATTATTATTATTATTATTATTATTATTATTATTATTATTATTATTATTATTATTATTATTATTATTATTATTATTATTATTATTATTATTATTATTATTATTATTATTATTATTATTATTATTATTATTATTATTATTATTATTATTATTATTATTATTATTATTATTATTATTATTATTATTATTATTATTATTATTATTATTATTATTATTATTATTATTATTATTATTATTATTATTATTATTATTATTATTATTATTATTATTATTATTATTATTATTATTATTATTATTATTATTATTATTATTATTATTATTATTATTATTATTATTATTATTATTATTATTATTATTATTATTATTATTATTATTATTATTATTATTATTATTATTATTATTATTATTATTATTATTATTATTATTATTATTATTATTATTATTATTATTATCTTTTTCCTTTTTCATTTTAAGTGCTGCTCTCTCACAGTAACACATTTATCAAGTCTAATCATAGCAGTGGACCGACACTTACGGTCAAGCCCCACCCAACACAAAAATCAGCCGATTTCGAAACTTGGTTCTTCAATCCGAACAAAATCAGATTTTCGAACTGAGTTTAAATGGGGTTTTGGGTTTGTACTCGATTCAGACCGGTCCAAAAATCTGATATTTTAAAGAAAAAATAAACAATCTAAAATATTTAGAACTGGATTTTGCGTTTAACTATCGGACCGATCTAAATCTGAATCCAAAATTTTCGGACCAAATAGGATTCGCATCGGATCGGAACGAGCCAACCCGATTGAGACCTCTAAATGTTCCCCGTTTGGTTTTATACAATCCAAAAGCATGTTGACTTTAAATTATATATCTAATGAACCATTTTAAAAAATAAATAAATGGGATATCATGCTTTAATTGGAATTTTACTTTGCTATTGAAGCGTGAATAATTACAAAATTATGTTTCTATCAGCTTTTCTATATTAGACACAACATTTCGTATCTTACTTTACACCTCCATATATATATAAAATATATTGTTTTTTTCTATCGTACGTCATTTCAAATAGAAAAAAATAAGTGTAACTCTATTGAAATCAAAATGTACTTCAAAATGCTATAAATTAATGTAAATAATTATATTGGAAGCGTATGACATTCCTATTTGATGTGGGAGTTCTTTTTTCATACTTTTATTTACATATTATATAGTATTCATTATTACAATATGTTCAAATAGCGACAAAATGCTATAAGTGAGTTGAATTCGCCTGAGTAATGAGTGATATGAAACAGTTCATCGAGCTTTCTTGTTCGTTATTATATTCGGTAGTGGTTATAGTGAAGATGTCAATTAATATGTTATATGATATTATAAGGCATTAATGTTATGGAACCAAAACGGTTAAAGGAGCGGTCCAATAAGTAACCAGCGAAAACAAAATTGATGAGGTCTGTTGTCTTCTTTTTAAAAATTAAAATATTCCTCTTTTATTTAAAAACATAACGCTATAACATCGAATCAAGTAGTATATAATTACGATATTCGATATATTTTGATCTAAAAATTAGTTAGATTCGATTTTTTAAGATCAAATTAATTAAACAAAATTAAATATTAAAATAAAAAATTGAATAAACAAAATTTTATTTTAAAAAATGTTTTTAATAAAAATAATGAGATTTAAACACAGATCAAATAATGTTCTAATATAACCATAGACACTTGAAAATGTCACCTTTTAATATTCCAATGTAGAAATAAAATTTCACGTGAATTATGCAAAAGCTCTTTAATGTTATTTCTTTTTGAGAACTTGAGAGAACCAAACACACTTCACAAAATTTCGTAAACCAACCATATTGAAAAGCTCACCTGTTCATATGCTTCGTCTCGTGTTACTGCGATCGCCCACTTGAAACATGTTCTTGTTTCAGCCACAACTTTGCTTTCTTAAAGGCTCCTAAATTATATATATGTGTATATATATATATATATATATATTTTATAGAATATGGACCGGTCATTTTATTGATGAAGGTCCATCTACAATTTAGGATATCAATTCTGGCCTAAACCCGAAGCGCAATCCGGCCCGACTTTAAAAATAGTGGATTTCATACGGAAATATTTAATCTAATTTTCTTTTAAAAATTTTCAGATTATGGTCAGATCGGATTTTGGGTCGACCTTTCGGTCCGGAGCCGGCTGGTAATGGACTTACTTACCTTGCTTGTGGACTAGCTGCGGAGCTGAAAACTTATATTTTTTAAATAAAAAATAAAAAAAATAAAATAAAATAAAATTTAAATAACAAATTTAGCAGGTTAGTCTGATCCAATCTGAATCTAATCCCGAAATCTGTAAAACAAACTTCAGATTTGATAATTTAGATCTAAAAAAATCGAACCGATCTAAACCCAAAGCCGAAATCTTAAGGCCGGACCAGCCCTATTGTGCACACCATTTTACCCCGTAGTCGCTTGCGGAGAGCATGTGTGTGATAGATATTCTCTATGAGTAACACTACAACAAGATCTTGTTGCAAACCTCAATCTAGAACCGTACACAAATTTAGGTATCCAAAATTTTAGAGATATTTGAATCCGATTTCGAATACTTTTGGATTCAAAGTTAGAAAAATTCGATTATAAATTAGTACTCTAAATATTCGGAGATCTATGATATCCACAAGATTTTAGAGACACATCCAATGATTTATTAGATGGGAGAAAGATCCATGCAAAAAGAAAAAGGATTAACATTGTCAAATTCTGATAGCATAAATGTGTAAATAATGACAATCACATAAATATGTGAATTTTAATGGTATTTTCATAAATTTTGATGTCACCTTGTGAAAGCGATCTACTACTACTACTACTAGTATTCCTTTTTTTTATGTATATGATAAAGACAATCTGATGTTGTCGGCACACATGATCGCTGAATCTGGTTTGACTGAATGCGGATTAAGAAATGAATACTTGAATGTAGGTCTGATCGTTTCGTCACACAGTTTCAAAACGGTTTATTCGTTATTTTAAAATTTATATTAAATTAGTATTGTATATTATTTGGTTTGATTCGGTTTTAATATGGTTTGATTTCGATCTTTATTAAAAATTAATTTTTTAAAAAAAAAATCATATTTTTTAATTTTATAAAATTCTATTTCGGAAAAATTCGATATTACAAAAAAGAAAAAATATACCGTTTGAATACCACGATTCAAGAAAAATACTGAATTTTTTAGTTCGATACATACAATTTTTTTAAACCGAATCGAAACGTCCAACCATGGTTGAAGAATGAGATCTAGCACACATGATAGATTTTGGATAGATTTTTATTTTACTTTTATAGTCTCATTCCATAGAAAGAAATAGGAGAGATCGTGGCATCCGTCTTAAAGAAATTTTCCAGAACTTATGAACAATGAAGATCGCTCTTTATAAACTTAAAACTGATACCGAAGAACAGATATTAGATTCAAGATGAACTCAGATGAGAAAAAAAACGAAACTTTAAATCCAAAAATCAAAATTTATTTAACCACTAGTGTAAGCTCAACGAATGAGCTTTTAGGGTTTTAATCGATGTGGGTTAAGTTGACATTTGGTGACGAAAATTGGCAACCGAATTTCGTTGCTATATTTGACGAAAGGCAATTGTTATATTTGACGAAAGGGCAATTGCAATAATTGCAGAGGATTTAGGGTTTTATTTGATGGAAATCTTCTCAATGTTTACCTCTTGCAATGACGGATATGAAATTTCACTCTTCGAAAAAACCCCATTTCTTCCAGCCCCTTCTTCCTGGCTTCTACCACCACCTCGTATTCTCTCTCTCTCTCTCTGTGGTCGTGTTAGGAAGAAATGGTTCTGAGTTTTATCCAATTTTTCTATGTCGTTTGTTTGTTGTTGTAGGACATGCCGGTGAACTTCTTCAAGAAGAACGTAGAGGGAAGGCACGAGGAGAAGACGACGACACTGGTGTCGGATGTATCGGACAGAAAATGGGAAGTGAAGATTGACGGCCGGAGATTCGCCGACGACTGGAAAGATTTCGTCGTCGACCATGGTTTTCGTGTCGGAGAATCTTAATTTTCAGACAGGAAGGAGAAGGAGATTTGGGTTTTCACGTCACAGGCTTTGGGCCCAGTTGCTGTAATCTCGTATACTCTTCGTCTCGCTCAGATGACGAAAATGGTGGGTTGGAAGAGGAAGAGGAAGATTATGATGATAGCGAAGAGGAGGACGCCATTGACGAGAAAAACAGTGGTAAGTTTGTGTTTGTTTTGCATCTGAATTCTGAATCTGAATCTGAGAGAAAGAAGAACTTTAAACTGATGGAAAGAAAAGATTGATGCATTTCTGATGTTGTGGAATGATTTGTGATATGAATGTGTAAACATTGTCTGAAAATGAGATATTCTGTTTTAGGTTTTGCTGATCATGTCTTATACTGTCTGAAAATGATGAAATCCTTTGTGTTCTTGCTTCAGCACAAACCTGTCACTTAAATAATGGAAATACGGAATATGGATCCATCCGAATGTTTACGGGTGGAGATTTCTGATTCAGGAATTCGTTTGAGAGAGAAGAGAACGACGAAGAAGAAGAAGAATCCACCTCATGAACCCAAAGGAAATCCTTCAACTGGACCTAACAGCAACAAAGAGATCAGATCGGGTGAATGCTCAGAGGAAATGAAGTTCATGACATTAACTTTCACACCTCATGAGTTCAAATAAGACAGAATGGTAAGTAATTTCAAGGACATTGTTTTGGGAATTTCCCCAGTTGTTCCTTCGTTGACAAGAACTCTTAAAAAAACGCTCGTTGAATCACATGCAGCGTCTTCTGACACAATTCACGAGGGCGAATAACATCGAGAGGCCGAGAAATATAACTTTGGTGGACAAACACAGAGTGGAATGGCCGATAAATCTGTCGAAGGAGAAGAAAACGGGAAAGATGGTGCTGGGAAAAGGTTTGAAAAGCTTCTGCATAGCTAATGTCTTGAAGGAAGGTGAATCATTCGAGATGGAATTGATTTCGAGAAATGCAACTCCTGTACTTAAGTTCTCCTCCGAGGTGAATACCCAAAACAATATCTGGGCATCCAGGTTTTTGGATCGTTTTGAGTAGAAGATTTGTGGTTAAACCAAGTTATTTTCTTTCGAGTTTCTTTTAGATACAACATAGAGAATCTGCACAAAGAAGATAGTGTCGAAACAGAAGCAGAAACACATCAAACTAGAGAGACCCGAGAGCAGAAAACGTCTTCGAAAGAGCGTTTATCAGAAACCGAGATACGAGAACACAAGAGAGTACGAGTTCAAGAGAACGTGTCAAGAAACGAAGAAAACCAGTGTAACCATTCCTGTTCAGAATCTTCATGATGGACACGATCTGATCAGATAATTAAGATCAAACAGAGAATTTCAGACGCCATAACTGCGTCGTGACAGTCTCAAGAGATTCTCAAGAGGGAAGAACATGAACTAGAAGAATTGTGGCAAGAACTTGATAGATTCGGTTAAGTTATTTCCGATCAAAGTAATTGTTCTGTCTTCCTTTGTCTTCCTTTCTGTTGGATTACTGGTTATATTCTTGTTTTTGGCATTGATGGGCTTTCTAAACTGTTTTCCTTTTGCATTTTTTTTTGCTATATTTGCTTATGTTATTTCCAATGTTAGAACAATGTTTTATGCTTGGAAGATTTTTTTTTTAAATCAAGAGTGAGAGATTCAGACACATTGTCTTTTGTTATTGTCGGAAATTGTTTGTCAAGAGTGGGTGTTTCGATACAATTTTTCGAACCGAGCTCAAAGTTTTAGAATGATATTTTTTTAGAAAATCAAATTTTTTAAAACCGAACCGAATTAAATTTAAAAAACCCTCGAAAAGCCGAAAATTTCTTAAGAATATCTAAGATTTTCTTAATAAAAATCGAAACCAAACTGAAACTTAAATCGAATCGAACCGAATATGATATAGAAACCGATCGGTACATATTTCGTTCTAAGAATAAGTAACCATGAACATTCTTCATTGTTTTTTTTCAGTTCAAATGTTTTTGGGTTATACTATTTGCCTGGACAGAGATTACTTTGGTTTGAGAATTGATTTCGGAATTTATGGTTCAATTCAAAGAATTAGTTGAGAAAAATAGGGTGAAAATACTTTTCGTTTTCAAAAACCCTTTAACAAGTTAAAATATGAAACAAATATGATAATTTCGGATATAAAAATACGATGTATCCCAAATTTGAATCCCTCTAATTTTGAGATCTGAAATATGTTATCAGATTCAAAGCGAGACGAGAGATTTATTTGTCAAGGCCGAACAAAATCGAGTGTAACGTGATTAAGAGTTCGGACCGCATAATTCGGGTTCGAATTTTTTCCGCACTATAGGTAAATAAATAAATAAATTTACAATTATACCTTTATTATTTTAATATATATACAATAATATTTAGTTCTGTTTCATCTAAAATTACCGATACGTCCTCGATCCACCATATACTAGCGTTTTTATTGTTCCACGTTCGAATTTGAATTGGAGTACGAGTTTTTATCTGATTTCCGGATACCGTAAAAAAATAGATGCTGTGTTTTTTTTTTTTTTTTTTTACCAAACCTAGTAATTAATACATGGAGTTTAATTAAATTAGGGGATATTATTTTTATCACTAAGTTATTTATTGTATACCAAAAAAAAAAAGTTATAAACTGTGTCACAACCTCGTATCTATTTTACTAGATTCGAATTTTGGACGCACTTGACACGGAGACGTAGTGTTGAAGCGGACCAAAAGCTTCAACCTTATAAGGAAATTCCTCAAGGAAGATATAGAGACTGAGAATTTTAGGGTTTCTGAGCTGGTTCAACAATGGCAAGTCCTAAAACCTAGTCTAGGGTTTTCGAGCTGTTCAACAATGGCGAATCCTAAAGCCTCCTCTCCCAGTAAACCTCATTTTTTCCAGCCTCTTCTTCCAGGCTACCATCTTCATCTCGTAATCTCTCACTCTCTCTTTTTATATGTGCTTCTCTCTCTCCCCCCTTCTGGACATGTTAAACGGTTCTGTATTTGTGTCTTGTTGCAGAACATTCCTGTAACCTTCTTCAAGAAGAACATAGAGGGAAAACACGAGAACAAGGGCGCGACGCTGATTTCGGACGTGTCTCACAGAACATGGAAAGTAAAACTGGATGGTCGGAGATTCACCGACGGTTGGAAAGATTTCGCCGATGATCATGATTTCCGAACCGGTGACTTCGTAGTTTTCAGGCATGAAGGTGACTTGGTTTTCCATGTCACTGGTTTTGGGCCCAGTTGCTGTAACTTACAGTACGCGCCATTTTCCCTTGACGACGATGACAGAGAAGACAACGCTATTAGTAAGTGTTTTTTTGGGTTCTGCCCTATTTTGAGGAACCACGACAGAGACTAAGTTAGAAAAAAACAGGGTAAAAAAATTGCCTCATTTGGTAGTTTCTAGATAATTTAACAGAACAAATGCAAATCCAAACTCTCTTTTTTTTTTGTATTTGCATTTGTAAGAGAAAACATAATACTGCAGTTTCTTTGCTTGATGTGTCTTTGGTGATGCAGTGTGCTGTTTTATGTCTTGTTTTAAAGTTCATGTCTTTGTTTATCCAATATTTGAATGGTGCATGAATTATGAGAAGAAAACCGAAGCAGCAAAGAGAAGAAAAGCTCGGAGGGAGGTCCAAAGGAAAAGGAGAGGGTTCCTTCACCCAGGGCAAACCCGTCTGTGACTTTAACTCTTAAACCTAACAGTCTCACCAAAGGTTTGGTAAGTTCAATAACTTTGTTCCGGAAGCTTCTTCTTCTCATCATGTGCTGGCTTTGAGGCATTATGGGAACTGTAATTGTCGTTGATGAATTCTTGTGCAGCGTTTTCCCATCCACTTCACGCGGCAAAATTTCATTGTAAAGCCAGGGAAGGTTACCCTTCTGGACAAAAACGGAGGAGAGTTGTCGAGCAATTTTTTTTCCGAGAGAGATGGAACAATGAGGTTGGGGATATGTGGTTTGAGAGGCTTTTTTGGAGCTAATGCTGTGAAAGAAGGCGAATCATTCACGTTGGAGTTGATCAGGAGAGACACAACTCCTGTACTTAAGTTCTGCTCCAAGGTCAAACACCGAGTGAACTGAGCTGTACAAGTTTCGGGTTCTTAAGTTGAACCTTTGTCTTAACAAGCTATGTTCTCCTGGTGATCTGTTTTCAGACACACCAACACCAGAATAGGGCAGCTGCTGAGTCTCCCATCCCCAACAAGACTCAGACTCGTAAGAGAGTTCGAATTGGCGGTCCCATTCTTGATCCAGTTGGGGAGAAGGAATCGAAGCATCGAGAACACGGATCTATGGATGTAACTTCATCAATAGGATCTAAAGAAAACTCTTGCCGTGCACAAACTTTTTCTGACGCCGATAATGAGTTGGCTGAGGCTAAACATGAGACCGTGAATACTCTCGGGCAGTTTCCTGATGTGCCCGCAAAAGAGGAAGAAAATCCGGTAGTCTTGTCGCAGAAACCGGATGACTTTGGTATGTGCTCATCTGTTTGTTTTGTTATGCTTCTATTATTGTTTTAATGGTGTTGAAATAGGGGAAGAAACCTGAGGATTCTATTGATTATGATAAACTTTGTTACATTGTTTTTGAAGTTCGAGTCGATTTGGTGCTTTTTTTTGTCCAAACATGCGTTTGGTTATCCAATTTGTGTCTCGAAAGCTCAAGTTTTAAAAACTTGTTAATCACTATGTAGTGTTCTGAAGTGAATGAAATCTTACGCAAATCCTATTTGAGATGAATTAAATCTTACATGAATCCTATTTCTTTAGTTTCTTAACTTGTTTGGGTGATTTCCCTGCTCGGTTCTTGGATGTTCTTGAATATGAACTGTAAATGAAAAGCAATCCAGTGTTTAAGCCCGGACTGATTTCTTTTTATTAAGGAAACCTCCCTAAGAAGAAGAAAATGAAACGTGGTCCAAAAACAGAAGCTGAGTCTTCTCCAGATCACCCGTGTTTCGTGGTATCTGTCACAGATTCTGGCCTACACCGAGATATAGGGGTCAGTTCATTCTTCAGTTTACTCCTTCCGCACAATCCAGTATTCTTATTCGCGTTCCATGACATAATCGCTTGATAACCTGGATACATCGCCTATAGAATCAGAAAATTAGTTTGAGTGTTCTCTAGTGTTCTCTCGTGATTATTGTGGCTATGTCATTTAGAAACTTGTCATGTTCTGAAGAATCTCTTATAGTGCATGATTGGTATTTTGTCTGTGAGAACCAACCAATAATGTTTCAGAAGATACAGGAAAAAAAGATACCCGCAAGTTCCTGAGTGAGTTTGTCAATACCCACCCTTTAAACCTCGGTGGCTTTTGCAGTTTCTTCCTATGAAATTTAAGAGGTCAATTTTTCTGGAAAACCTAAGCTGTGAGATAGTTCTAATGGATGATCACGGAAGATCATGGCCATCGAATTTGAGAATCACCAAATCGTTCAGTCGGGCTTACATCAACGGAGGATGGAAGAGGTTCTGCCAAGAAAACAGACTACGAGGTGGAGATTCATGTACCTTCAAGCTTGTCCAAAATGGGACAAAAACTGTTCTTCGGTTGTCCCCGAAAGAGTGCAGTAGCAGCAAAGAAGAGTGTTCAAAAGCAAAGGTAGAGAAGGGTCATTCCAAAAAGCAAAGCAGCAAAGAGAATAGCCAGTCAGGCGAATGTTCAAAGAGCGAGGAGGAGAAGCAAACTCGTTTGAGACGGAGAGTTTCACCTCCATCAAGTCGAAATTGTTTTGTGACTCTTACACTTAAGAATTTCGTAAGAGGTTACGTGGTAAGTTTGACAACTTTGTCCCGTAAGCTTTTCTATCTTATTCAGGTGCATTAACTGAATCTTTTACAGCGTCTTCCGAAAAAATTCACAAGGGAAAATGGCATCGATAAGCCGGGGATGATGACTCTGCTTGACAAAGACGGAGTAGAGTGGCTGACCAATTATTGGATGGAGAAGTCAAACAGAAGGATGCATTTGGGAAAAGGTTCACGAGCCTTCTTTAGAGCTAATGGTGTGGCGAAAGACGACTCTTTCGTGTTGGAGTTGATCTGGAGAGACAAAACTCCGATACTCAAGTTCTTCTCCAAGGTCAAAACCTTGAGTGGAATCGAACAGTAAATGTTTCCGGCTTCTTAAGTTGAGCTTTATGTCTTAAAGATTTCGTGTTCTCGTGATTTTGTTTTCAGATAGATCGATCTGAAGAGTCTCTTGTCCAAAAGAACATTCTAACACGCAAGAGAGTTCGAGATGGAGGTCATGTTCTTGATCCAGCTCGGGGAAAGAGATCAAAGCATCAAGAAAATGGACCTATGGGTTCTTCTTCTTCATCCAGAGGAACTGCAGAAACGTCTCGTCGGTCACAATCTCTCTCTGCATCCAATCAAGTTGCTAAGGCTGAACAGAAAGTTCCCGAGGTTCCCGTAAAAGAGGAGCAGAATCAGAGAGCTTCATTGTGTGAATCCGATGCCTTTGGTTTGTGCTCATTTTACTTGTTCTGATTTTATTAGTTAGGGTTCCATTCTGGTGAACCATAAATATAAACAAGTTCAATGCTTATATGGATTATTTTGTGTCAGTAAATCTCTTGAGAAAGAAGAGAGTGGACGGAAATCCAAAAATAGAAGCAGAGTCTTCGGAAGATCACTCTTGCTTCGTGGCCCGTGTCACGCCTGCTAACCTGCGGAAAGACGAACTGGTAAAATTTCTATTTCAGTCTACTCGAAATCTCGTACTATATAGAACTATGATTCTTGTGTAACCATATATACTCATATAAACTTTCATATTGGCATTGCAGTATCTTCCAAAAAGTTTTATAAGGTCGAATGGTCTGGAGAATAGATGTTGCGAAATACTTCTGATGAATGAACAGGGAATATGGTGGGAATCGATCTTGAGAAGTCGGAAAGATAATGGTCGGGTTCACATCTATGGGGGCTGGAGAAGTTTCTGCTGCGCAAATGGACAAAAACCCGACAGTTTCTGCACTTTTAAACTTGTCCTGGGAGGGACAAAGCTTGCGCTTCTGCGGCTACCTTCAACAGGATCCGATGGTAACAGCATCTCGAAAACGTGTACAGAATCAATAGAAAAGAAGGCCGTTGACGCAAACACTAGAACCCGAGAAAAGAACCCCAAGAGAAAGGAGAAGACTCGTATAATGCAGAGAGCTTCATCTGATTCTTCACCATGTCGAAACCCATTTGTGGCATTAACTCCTACACCCAAGTGTGTTGGAAGACTGGTAAGAGTAACAAAACTCTGTTTACTTCATGTGTTTTCTCTCTTGTCGTTTGTTGGATTCGACGCATTCAAAGAAGTACTCTAGGGCTAGGAAAATAACCTGAATTTCGGGTATCCGACCTGGGTCGGATCAGGTATCGAAGTATATGAGATGAGATTGGGTTAGAGAAAATCCAAAAACTGAATACGGGTTCCGGTAATTAGGCACGAGATGGATTTATTACTGGCGGTATCTGAATGAATAGTAAAATGACATTTTTACCCTTAGATTTCAGAGATATTACAAGCTTATGCGAATTTTATGTTTAGGTTCATGTAGTTCAAAAATTTCGGATGTCTCTTAATATATGCTATTTACTCTGAAAATTGTTCTGGACATCCTATTAAAATGGGTAGGAGATTATGTAATCTCGGGTCTTCTCGTGAGACTCGAGATTCGGATTCGGGTAACCTTAAAATCTTGTGTATCTAGTCATGACTGTGCCCACTCTAGTGATTCTTGTTGATATCCTTTTGCAGCGTCTTCCGATACCCTTCACGCGAGAGAACAGAATCGAGCCGGGGCAGATAATTTTGGTAGGCAGAGGCGGAGCGAAGTGGCCGATAAATCTCATGAAAGAGAACAAACGCCCACAAATGAGTTTGGGAAAAGGTTGGAGAGAATTCCGCGAAGCTAACGGCTTGAAGCCGAACGTAACTTTCGTGTTGGAGTTGATATGGCAAGGCTCAATTCCTCTTCTCAAGCTCTGTTCCCATGTCTAGGCTTAAGAGTTCTGTTCTGTTCTCTCTTCCCCTGTTTTTTGTTGCATGTCCTAAGCGGCATCAACCTTTGCTCATGTTTTGGTAAATGTTAACTACACATTTGCATGCTCTTTACGTTTTCCATCACTTGTGTTCTATGCTATTTGACATAAGCTGATAATATATATGTGTAACCAAAATGAATATATTTTTTTAACTGAATGGAATTCAAAATAGAATATAAAAATAATTGAAAAATTAAGAATATCTTAAAAAAATACTATTTGTATCAGTAAAAATTAAATACAATTGAATTCGTAATGAATGATAGTCTGTTTTAAAATTGAAAAAAAAAAAATTGAAGCTAAAGATGACCAGAAATAACAATGGCAACCTCACTCGTACAACTAACCAGAAATAAAAATTGTCCGACCAGTGGATAGAATCCAACAAGAACCCTAGATTTCTACGCAATATGAAATCCCACGTGAGCTTTTCTCTTCTGTCCACAGCCAATCATTACCCTTCCGACAATATAAATTCACGTGTAAGTTGATGAAACTCTTCTGCTCTTTTAAGGCAACAAAAGAAGTTTTTTTTTGGCTGCGTTCCACATCCTTTGGATAAACAGATCATACTCCGTCACTACGCATCAACCATCTCTGTATATGTATCTGTATCTTTCACCGCTGGCGGTTCAGATTCCGTACCGCCCGATGGAGGCATACGCGCAGAAGATTCAACGGCGATAATTTTCACCAGAGGCTCTTCCTTATGCTCCCTCGCTGAATCGTCTTCGACCTCAATTGAAGGGTTTGAATCGGATTCGCTTTCATCAACCACTGCTTTCATCGCACATGTCGATTCTTTTCCGCGTTCAGATTCTTCCGTCCGTGAAATAACTCCATTACATTGCAGGAGCATGATCTCAACTGCGGCTCGTTGGCGAGATTCTGTTTCTATTTTATCGGGTTTCTTCTCGTTATGAACACCATCGAGTCTAAGGCATGATGATGATGGCCGGGCTTGAACCCTACATGACAAACCGAGAATGTACTATGTTCAAGAGCTCGGTGAAAGGATGGTTAATCCTTTCAACTAATAAGATCAAATCATTTCGATTTCGTTTCGGCAGGGATCGAAATTCGCAACTCAAATCTGGAATTCTGCGTAAAAGGAAAAAAAAAAAGTCTCACCTGCTATAGAGGAGCATATAAGCTCGTTGAGAAAGCACGTCTTCCAATTCGACATTTTCTACCTGAAAGTATTTCCGGACATGGTTAGAAGGATATCTCTCGAAATTCTAGTTTCATCACAACGAATACACATGCTTGCACGCCAATATCGCCAATTACCAAAGGAGAAAACCATCGTGAGTGAAGAGAAGATGATGATTGTTACCTCGGAATCATCTATTCTATACCAGTTTCCACGTAAATCCTTTACGTAGCAAATGTAATGGCCGAAAAATGAAGCATTCAGCATATCTAAATGGACAATCACTGCATAGAGCTTGTATATATCCGTACCATCTCCTCTACCATCACTCATGTAAGGACTAAGATCCAATTTCTCGGGAAAACTAATTTTTTTGTTCAGTTTTCCAAATCTCCCACCCTGTAGAAAATTTTCAGAGATAAGAATCAGATGAATAATATAATCTGAAAACAAGTGGGTTGGAACATAGATAGCACAGACCTGGAATCTTTTCAAAGCAATCGTAAGAATATTCGGAGCTCGGTGAATTGTAAGATGCTTCCATGCCTTAACATAATCATTGCATCTAGAAAAAAGAATCAAAAGAAAAATTAACAATCTTAAATATAACAAATTCAATTCTCAGGAGACAAATTTAAATACCTATCACACTTGTACATGTTGTCTCCTTGAAGCCATTCTTTGGCAGTGAACTGATCCAGACATTCCTCCAACGATATCGCATCCCCATGGATCTCAACCGTTAAATCCATCATATTCTCGCATTGGTTAGAAACATTATTGCAAACTGTACACATCACCTGGAAAGTGAAAACAAAAATTGGCAAATCAGGGGAAAGAAATCCCGAGAGAGAAGAGAAATAAAGCTTATGTTCATCACAGGAAGAACAACAATATTTTTAGATTAAAAAAAAAGGAAGAAAATACAAGGCAAGCTCCTCCATTTTCAACATAGTCAACAGGCAAGGAAGAAGATATCAGATAAAGGCCAACAATGTCAAAAGAGAAACTGGTAAAGAATAGCAGAGTAATCATAGACCAGAGCTGTAACTGGGTATTTGGTATCCATTTACATAAAGGCCTTACAACATTTCCCAACTCAATTACCAAAGTCCACATCACTCTACTATGACAATATACAAAAAGAAGGCAGCAAAATTAAAGACTGGGAAAATTCACCTGTGATTGAAGGTGACCAGCAAATATATATTGAATAAGTGTTGTTTCTTGGCATCGAAGAGGGACCACTTTTTCTCCACCGAATTCGTCGAGACAAACAGATTGCATGGTATCAATGGCAAACCTACAGCATACAAACTTTTCAATAATTAGGTCGGAAGTTGGCAAATTCCGACAACTAGGATAGGCTATAACCAATGAATAAAAATGGCTCACCTCATGAACTCATGAGCATCCTCCTGTCTCCCATACCCAAGATTTCCACAAATATTAGGTAAACGCGAAATAATGTTCATCGGAGAAAAAGGAAGTCGACTTTGACTTGCTCTTTCAACATGGGTTTGAAATTCACAAAAGAAACACCAATCATTGCGCCTACCTGCAAACGAAACTCAAAAGGAAAACTGAAATGCCTAGAGAAAATCCAACAGAAGATGTTTAGGTATTACAACACAAAAGAATTTTACATTCTCTTCTGTGGCCTTTCTCTAGGACGTAAGCTACAAGAGGACGAGTCCAGGATAGGCATTGTAGGACCACATTGGCGAAACAACTGAAAGAGGATTGACAAAAAAAAAAATGAGAGCAAAGTGAAAACAAAGAAAAAAGTATTATCCAACTCACTCAAGGATTATTTGATGCTGCAGTAGAAGATAGATTAACATGAACCTGTTTCCACAATTGATGAGTCCACATGGAACAAACCCCGGCTTGTCCCAGTTGAAATATTTAACAAATTCATCGTATGGGAAAAGAATCTGGAGAAGAAGCAAACAAGAATCACCATTAAGACTCGCAAATCAAGCTGTAAGAGCAAGTGTCAATGGCAGATAACAGAGAGAAAAACACATTACTTCTCTAAGCTTTTGGGTAGTCCTATTTTCGCCCTGCTTAGGAACCAATGCAACCTTTGAAGCGAATCCGTTCTCCGAAGAAGAAGCTTTGAACCCGAATTCACTACTTTTGGTTGGTGTTGAATTAATGCTTCCAATTTCCTTGCATTTTCTTTTATGACCAGAATTCCAGTCTGATCTTTGGCATTCTGCTGAGCTAATGCCAAAGAAAATAGAGAACTACTTAGTAAAAAATGCTGCACTAAACCAACTAACAATCACCAACTGATCTTGCCAGTAATATTATCTCATATAAGTTATTAAAAGTAGCTAAATATAAACTTTGCCAAATCCAGATTCATGAGCAAAAAAGGAAAAAAAAAAAGTTTGGAATTCGGCAAACTCACATATGCCCAATTCAGGATAGTCGGCGATTGCCTTGATTAAAGACCAATCTCAGTTTTGTCAGATCAATTATTTTTCATGATCCGACGTATTAAATTCATCAGCCCATAACGGAAAGCAACGATCAAAACAAAGACCAAACAACGCGATTTCGTTTCGAAATCAACAGTAAATCTATCACCCGTTATGCCCAAACCAACTAAAACTCAACAAGGAACAAACTGACAAGCCTTCAAAAGATTCAGGACAAGACATGGGGACATACCAATATCGGACGGATTTGCAGCGAGAGCACTTCTTACTGGAAACTTTCCCACAGACAGCGCATTCCGCCGCGTCCCCTGCCATAGCTTCCCGGTTGCGTTCCCGACCGAAATTACCGGCGCCGCCGACCTCGGAGTACTTCGCCACGGTGGTTCTGATTAAGTACACAGCACCGACGAAGATGAAGAACAGTGCCACTACAAGCTGCGTGAAGAGATTCAGATCCACCGGGAATCCGACCTCATGCATCTAATTCCCGAAAAATCTCGCTCTCGAACGTCGATCAATCTCCTCTTTCGTCCTCTTTTCTATATTTTCTGATTCTCTTATTCCTTTCCAGTTTTATCGAACATATTTGTTGATGGGCCGTAGGGCCCATTTATCACCTCAATAAGGGCCCTATGATTTTTTTCATTCCCTTATTATTTTTTAATTAGAAAATGTGAACTTATTTAAATAAGAAGAACGTGGAAAAAAAAACAAAAAAGAAATTAACGTTTGTGGTAGAAATTTAAGAAAAAATATATTTATGGAATTTAGGAAGAAAGGGAAATCAAAGACTTAGAAAAAAATATAAAAAGTTAAATTTTCGATTACATTTACACATTGACTACTAGATATAAGATATATGTATGCATATATACATATATATAGATATGTACTATATACGAATGCATGTTTAGATGTAGATATGCATATTTTGTGCATGTGCATGCATCTATGTTGTGTGTATATAATTACAGTTACTATCCATACATAAAATGGCAATAAATTTATAAAAATATTTTACCGCGTAATATCATCTTCAACCAACTTCCACCGTACCTGGTGATGTCCCCAACTCTACTGGTTAGTGACAATCCATCTTTACACAAGGTCATGGATTCGAAACCAGTTGAGGCTGAGCTTCCCCTTGAACCGGTCAGCTTCGGTTGGTTTATCTGCTCTGCATAGTTTTTCGGTTATTACGCAGAGTTGGAGGATTTACTATCGGCATACCGACTGTCCGAAAGGCCGTATGACGGGTTTCCATTGTTATAAAAAAAAAACTTCCACCGTACCATAATTTGACTCTTCTAACTCTGGAACTAATATTTAGATACAAACAAGAGTTTAGAATATTTTGATCTTGAATTCAAAAATGATATATATCATAAAAGTTATAATTGGATCTATACAATTAATACCATATCAAATTTACATGTGAGTTTTACATTCATCTTCATGTGTTTGTAAAGCCAAAATATATATTGATTTTAAATATCATTTTTATATTCAACATCCATATCCATATCAAAAGTTTTAAATATAAAAATTTTAAAAGATTTTTATCTCATTTTTATCTCTTTTTCAGGTAATCATCTCCTCTCCGTATTAAAAAAATTTATAATCTAACTAAATAAATTAACAAAATATATTTAACATCTTATCTATTTATATATATTTGTAATTTAAATAGTAAGAATCGTTCATTTAAAACAAATACGATACACAACATAAAAGTTTATATTTAAATTTAATTATAAATTTAATATAAAAAATAAAATACATATATGTATAAAATTAAAAGCAAAACACAAATTTCAATATTTATATTTTTTTAAAATATTGTTTTCTATGGAAATTCCAAAACGAAAAGAATTTTCCCAGTGGAAAGGCTAATGAGGGGTGTAGATATACAGGTGACAATTATGCTTATCTGGACAAGACAGATTGGTTATTTGGAAAGCTTAGGTTGGCCTCTCCTTGTCTTTTGTCTCTTCTGCGATCCTTCGGGATTACAAAAATATATTATTAATTAATCTATGCCACAAATCTTCAATCGACATCTAATTAAAAAACGACAACTTTTTATCCAATCATAAACCTTTTCCCAAATATATAATTGATAATTATAAAAAAAAACTACATAATATTCTAAAATATGGCAATATATATTAAAATTGATATATTGTTATATTTTTGTTTACTCTAATTTTTGCTATAAATATTAGTCGCGTTGTCTATTTGTTCATAGCTTATATATTAGTTTGTGGTATAGTAGTAGAAAAATGGAGATTTTTGGTAACTTTATTTTCGTAATAAACCAGACCCAATAAAAAATGAAACTATTCTAAGCTGGAAAGACCAAGACTTGGGTCTCAGTTCATTTTTCAAACATATCGGTATCCAAAACTTCGTCCCGACTAATCCGGACCCGACCCGGATCACTATTTGGCTATGGTGGGTGAATTTCCCAACAGAAACCTCGAACACGAGATTTTTATTTAAGTGAATCTAAATCGTTTACCACTTAGATTAACCACCGTCGGTTCAACCATATGTTTTTTAAAACGCATAAAATGTCTGAAAAGTTGTAATGTTATGTGTAATTTAGATAAATTAGAGATGTAAAAATTGGAATGGATGAGTACAAAAAGAACGAGAGATCAGAAATCGCGGAGAGTGAATTCGTAGTGGATTTTGATTGACGAGAGAGAGACTGCCTCCTGTTACGTACCTGTACCTATTTAATTTGTTTATATTTAAAATAATTAACAATAATATATAAAGACTAAACAATGCATGCATCGTGATTATAACCCAATTAGTGGCGTCTCTATCTTACGATTAAGCAAAACCAAGGCACTAATTTTTTTTGTCCTCACATAGAACGGTATGACATCGACCTTTTAGGGTTTTGTATATATTTTAAATTCTATTATTTTTTTACCTGGTCATTTTGTGTTTTTTTTATAAAACTAGCTAGGCGCATTTGTTTTTTTATATCAATATCAATAAAAAATGAGTTTAGACAGAATTTTTTGTTCTGATTCAATTTTCAAGTATTTTATTTTTATATTTAATTTGGTTTTTAATCGAATCCAATTAACACAACGTTTAAAATACATATACCATATCTGCTTTTAAATACAATTGTTGTTATTACTTGATTTAGTTCCGTTATATATACATATATCTGTGTGTGTGTGAATATAGAATATCTACCATTAGCGAAAAGTAAGAGGTGATGATGCTATAGGGCAAGAAAACCCGGGCTCGTGTTTCCCCACTGTTATTTATTTATTTATTTATTTATAGTCCCCTAAACTTCACTGATTATATTCGTATGGAACAAGTATACGCATGCATAATACATACGCATCTGCATGCATGTGCGTACGCACCGGCGTACACGTACGTACGTACATGAAAGCGATTACAAGGTGGCGTTTCATTTCTTTCTCTTTTTTTCTTGGGGTTCTTGGTTAAGTGTGACAAATTAAAAGATGGCATATTTTGCAAAGTGTGACAAAAATGTTGTGACCTTTGCAAAGTATACCTTTTTTTTTTCCCTAAAATGCCCCTGAAGCGGGGGCGTCACGTCGAGAACAAAATGGAACTGCTATTTTGTTTCTCTCTTCAAAATTTATTTTTGAAAATACGAAGAACAGTTAGGGCGAAGACGATTGTAGGGCGAAACACAAGAATCCCGGCGACACACGAATCCCGGCGACACACGAATTCCATAACAGGTATGTTATTCGGTAATTTTAACGTGTTTATGGTTATTGTGATTCGTGTATCGCAACATAGTCAATGTTTTCCGAAAATATTGTTGTTTACTAACGTCTATGTCGCCTTTTTGAGAGAGGCTGTGGTTTGGTTGTACGTGTATGGGTTCCCAGTAAAGTATTCGTGGTGAACATTTAAATATTGGTTACGGTAACGTCTGGCTCCCGTTCCCCACTGTAGTATCCGGACAGGTAGACTACATTCCTTGGGCTGTGTTGAAGTGTCCGGTTACTTCATGTTCGGGATACATTTTGTGGTCTTATAAGAGTGGTAAGGGTTTATCCCCGGACGTATATAGTCCGGGTATAAACCCGTAGGCTGGACTGTTCATATTATCCGGAATGTTAAATATATGTCGTGCATATTGCTTTGTGTGTCCGGTTATTCCATCCGGATGATTATTCATATACATATTATCCGAACATCTGCATACATGTCCGGGATATTGCTATGTATCCGGATGGTAATTCATCCGGATGGTTAATCATATACATATTATCCAGATATCTTCATACATGTCCGGGATATTGCTTTGTATCCGGTTTGTGATACAAAGCAATATCCGGGCAATATAGGGTGGTGTATTCTGTTGAAGTTTTGTTGAGTTTTAGACCTGATTTTTTTGTTGTGTATTGTATTGGGTAGATTGCAATGGATGTTTTACAAGTAAAACGATACTTTCCTGCTGGAGAAGAACCAGGCCTGAAGAAAAATATGAACGATGTATGCAAGTTTGGGAATTACATGTCAGAGTTGAAGAGGAACATGAGTGAAGAAGAATGGGGTGGAATGAGGGCTTCTGTCTTTGGATTTTTGTTCAGGCTATTTGACAATGGATTTTCCATATCCAAAGTCATGCTTCACCACATTCTAGCTCGACGGATCGTAACCACAAAGAAGTATGAGATGTGCTGTATGTTTGGGTGTCAACCTTTAAGGTTTTCTTTGTTGGAGTTCAGGGAACTGACAGGAATGCTCTGCCACAAGGATCCTGAGAACATAGAGATGGAGGGTGAGGACCAGGGACGTTTTGGTCAGCTTGCAAAGAAGAATGTTACTTTGAAGGACTTGTTGGACATGCTACCTGGAAGCATGGAAGGTTGGACTGCGGATGACAGAAGAATGTTGCAGTATTTGGTGATTGTCTGTGGAATTCTAGTCCCTCAAGAGAAAAGGAGGTCAGTTGAGAAGAGTTATATGAAGTTGGTCAGCAACTTGGCTGAGTTTGAAGCAACCAACTGGGGCAGAAAGTCCTTCGTCCATCTACTGGAGTCAATTCACTTGCTTGATATGACACAGTTGACCAAAACAAATTACACGGTCCATGGATTTATTCTCGGCCTTCAACTCTGGGCGATGGAAACAATCTCTTCACTCGGCGACATGTTTTCAAAATATGAAGTGTCAATTCCACCACTTGGTGGTAAATGGGGTCTTTATTCCAAGAGAATTGATAACGACATGGTGACTGAGATAGAAAAGAGGTGTGGTATTCTACAGTACATTCTCCCTCTTTCCAATCAATGTACTGAGTTTGAAGATGAGGTTGAGGACGCCACAGTCACCAAAATGTTGGAATTGCTTCCCAACAATCAATCATTGTTGATTGGGAGAAGCACATCCGATGATGCCCCAACAGAGGGGAGATGTCGTAGTGCTGAGGAGATTGAAAGGAACACAGTAATGGCAGTTGGCGAGGAGCAACCTCAGAGTATTCCAAGTGAGGGAGACGAAGATTTTGTGGTGC